ACTCCGGCTCATCTTCCAGGTACATGTCTGCCCTCCTCGCAGCATCTTCCTGCTCGCCTTCCATGGCTTCTCTGCATAAGCGTTTCACTACTGCACACTCAACCTTCGTGCGGTCCGAGACACGGCTTTTCCCGACCATCCTGCCATCCTGATTATCTACTCTCCAACCCAAGATTCTAAGCGTAAGGGCGCCTGCAACTTCATGGCCCTCTCCGATATGTCTCTGCCCCTCCAGGTCTCAGCTTCTACACGGACGTGCCCCTTCCGTGGGTTTTGGGGGGTTTTTTTTTTTTTTTTTCCAGGACCATCGCGGCCTCGCTGGGGCTCCCCCACACCTCTCCGCAACAGCTGGGGCGCCGGTCCTCTGCGGCTTTCTCCGCCTACATCAGGCCAGACGCGTCCGCTATCCTGCCTGCACAACGTCAACTGGCTTCCTCGTAAGCTCCCAGCAAAGCAATACGAAGCAAAGTAAGTGAACCAATAAGATTCTGGTGGCGGCACGCACTTCTCTCAAACACTCTCCGCTGCCGCAGCGTCTGACGGAACGTGATGCGAGCGCTCACGTTCCCAGCGCGCAAAGACAACCCTGCCGCAGCGTCTGGTTGATCGTGATGCGAGCGCTCACGTCCCAGCGCTCAAAGATAACCCTGCCGCAGCGTCCGGTTGATCGTGATGCGAGCGCTCACGTCCCGGCACTCAAAGATAACCGCATATAACGGTCACAGCACATAGTGATAGCGGTCATAGCGTTAGTGATAGCGGTCATAGCGTTAGTGATAGCGGTCATAGCGTCAGTGATAGCGGTCATAGCGTCAGTGATAGCGGTCATAGCGTCAGTGGTAGCGGTCATAGCGTTAGTGTTAGCGGTCACAGCATAGCAAAAAATGGTTAGCGCATAAACGGTTCACAGCATAGAGATAGCGGTCACAGCATAGCGATAGCGGTCACAGCATAGCGATAGCGGTCACAGCATAGCGATAGCGGTCACAGCATAGCGATAGCGGTCACAGCATAGCGATAGCGGTCACAGCATAGCGATAGCGGTCACAGCATAGAGTAGCCACGACGTCTGTTCCCTGCAAACCAGGCTGCAAAACTCCATCAACACACTCAGCCTTTTTGGGGATTGTACGCGCTCCATCGCAGGAGCCTCTCCGATCTGAAGGCCGCACCGGGGCCTAGGGCGCCAAACCACCTCAATAAATACTCAAAACCATTTTCGTTTCTCGTCTCTCCAAATTGAAATGTAGCTCGCGAAAATTCAATTTGGTAGACGTCAGCCATAAGCTACCCCCTCCAGGCCGGTTCGCTTCCCCAGCCTATCGCTCGGCAAACGCCCCCTTCCAATCATCCGTGCCGGACAGGCAGCCGCTTAAAAGCGGAGCAACTCCCACTTTCTGCCTTCTCGAAGCCTCGCACCCACCGCCTCCCCTCCTCCTCCTCTTCACCCTGCCTCCAATCTGCCTCCAATCTGCCTCCAATCTGCCTCCAATCTGCCTCCAATCTGCCTCCAATCTGCCTCCAATCTGCCTCCAATCTGCCAAAATGCCGCCACCAGTGCCTAGGTCCCGGGGGATTGTACGCGCTCCATCGCAGGAGCCTCTCCGATCTGAAGGCCGCACCGGGGCCTAGGGCGCCAAACCACCTCAATAAATACTCAAAACCATTTTCGTTTCTCGTCTCTCCAAATTGAACTGCACCTGTAAAGTAAATGGAACAAAGTATTATTGATATTACAAATGTGGCTCACAAATACATATTTCTCAGTGATTTTAAGTTACTTTATGTCAGTCAGTCAGAGGTTATCAGATAATGTCCTTCGGTCTCCTTTTTTATCTTAAACATAAAGTGTTCCTCATCTGCACTGACACATTTTGCACATTCTATCGAAGAATATTATTATATTTCATTAATATAGCCAATGCAAGAATACAATGTTAACCCGATAAACTTTGGCTTCAACGATCTTCATTGCTTTCATCTTCAGCTGTAAAATACATTTCCTCACACATTTCTCATCGCATTTACGGTGAGCGAAGAAAGAAATCTTCTCCAGAGAAAGCGTGGCTACATGTGGGTGACCTTAGCCTCTGCGAAGTGAGGACTGCTTCAAACAGCGCAGATGAGTGTGAAGGCCAGTGTCTGACCCAGGGCCTGGCTCCAAACCACAATGTCACCTTTTGGACCCAACACGGAGGCCATCTTGATTGTCTGTGCGATATGGCAGACAGCCGTGATGGACAGAGGCAGAGAGAGATAAAGGCAAACAGAGATAGGAGCTAGAGCGTTCAGGGGAGACCACTTGAATTAATGTCCATTTCATGTCATCTTTTTCTTTCAAGTTGGCAGCTGATGTGTTGTGAAAGATAAGGAATGTTTGTATTATCTCAGAGTTTGGTCATTTCAAGGTCACTTCTGATGGATAATGTGTAGTGCTTTCACAAAACTCCCGGAGCAGTCATTTTGACGGCTACCATTCACATTAATGGAATTCTGAAAAAAATCCCCCAAAAGAGCATTCGATTATTCACTGATTTTATTACATCTAAGTAATTCCTAAAGGTTTTATCTTTAATACATGCTAAAAATGGTTTATGTCAACAAAATACAGCAAAGCTAAATGCTAACTGATGCAAGTAAACCGTGTGTCTCTATGGTAACTAGCATTTCTCTGAACCAGTCTCGGACCTGTATGGAATCATGACAATTTCATAAACATAATGTACACTACATATAGAAACGGAAAAATTCACAGTTTTGTAGACCAAAAAGCTGAGTAATTACACTAATTACATAATGCTACATGTTCAAGACATGATCATGAAGCTGATTGAAAACAGAGAAGCAGATCATTTACAAATAATTGGATGTCAAAAAATCTCAATATGAATCTTGACATTATTCACATTCCGAATTGAATACAAAATACCTCACCCTAACAGAAAATATTTTAAGGTAGAAACTATAAAATGCTGATCACTGGAGGGAAAGGAAATCTCAATAAATTACCAAGATAAAAGCCCATCATTTCTAGCGGTAAAAATCAAGCACCATATGTAGATTTTTTTAATATCTTTTAGCTTATTATAGTCAACCCCCCAGTTCAGTTGGTAGAGCACTGGCCTTTGGACCTGAAAGTTGTGAGTTCAAGCCCGCCACAAGACCTACTTCACAACTCCCACTGATGACTGCGGTTGTTGTGTCCTTGGGCAAGACACTTAACCCCACTTTGCCTGAAGCCCCCACTGAAAGATCAAGGCTCCTGTGGACTCAGCACCTGCAGGAGGATCAGTGAGGGGCTGGTGCTCTGTGTACTGGGTGCAGCTCTGACTGCCACCCCCCCAACCCAGAAATGGATTAAGGGGAAGAAAATGGATGGATAGATGGATAGTCAACCAATATTACACAATCTTCATGAAACATATTGAAATAAGATACACCAAAGATCTTTTTCTCTTTATCACAAAATAGGAATGATCGCATCTGCCACGTGACGACATCTCTCCATATTGCATCAGTTACTGTGAGAGTGATACATACAAACTCCATTAGAGATACATTAAAAGCAAAAGCCCAGCGGACATAGCTCTACCCACGACCACATCTCTTTTCTCCATCTGCACGAGGTTTTACTGCTTTAGAAAGAGCTGTCACCTTCTGTCCCTGAGGCCTCCGCTAAAGGCTTTGTACCATTTCACCGAGCGGCCTCTTCATCCACCTTTAAAACAGCAGACTGACAAAACTCTGAATGGAAAGAAACAGTAGTTAAAGTCCGAGAACAAAAGACCATGCATTTGGAATAGTTTGTATTAATGAGAAGAAGTGCAGTTGCTTCTTAAAACATTCTGTTTCTAACTAGATATATTTAGTCATAGAATACCGGAGAAGGTTTTTTGTAATGAGTTTTCTTTCATGGTCCAACCCGAGTACTGTATCCTTCTCACTCATGTCTGATGGAAGATTGCGGTGGGTTAAAACCTTTTGCACCATTTTATGCATGTTTTGGTCGTCAATAGAAAATGATTACATACACTCACATTCATCCCTAAAAGTGACATTTTCAATAGTTTAAATAATTTTCTTTTGAAATTGATAAAAAAATTATCAAATGCAAAAATGTACGCACTAATGTATGCACTGCCATTTCCCCAACAACAACAAAATTACTCATGGGCAGCATAGTGGCAGAGTGGTTAGCAGTCTTGTTTTTCAGCAAGAACGTCCTGGGTTTGATTCCTGAGCCAGCGTTCTATCTGGAGTTTGCATGTTCTCCCTGTAGGGCGTAGGTTCTCCATCTCTAATGACGATCGGAGGCTTTGTGTGGTCTGTGAAATGTGCTATTTAAATAAACTTTACTTACTCAAAAAAAATCATTCTAACACATATTCTGGGCACATGTTCTCTCCAACACTGTATTTGCAGAACTGTTTCAATTTATTTGTAACTAAAGGCAAGTTATAGTGATGAAACTTTGAAGGTCCTGGGTTCGATTCCACCTCCAGGCCTTTCTGTGTGGAGTTTGCCTTTTTTCCCCGTGTCTGCTCCAGTTTCCTCCAGGTGCTACGGTTTCCCCTAGCCTGACTCTCGCCAGACCCATGTAGTTCGCTGCACTTCAGCCGAACGCCTCTGGTGGAGCATGGCGGAACTACAAGGGTCTGGCAGAGCCAGGCTAGGTTTCACCCAACCACTAAAACAAATAGGTATAAAAGAGAGAGGTTTAAATGGATGGTGTTGAGTTGGAGTCATCACCGTGTGGAGAAAAGGGAAAAAATATTTGAACTCTGAACATCATAAAGTGCTTTGGGTGACCTTGGTCTGTGAAATTCACTATATACGTAAATAAACATTACTCACTTACTTCGTATCCTGCTTTATAAGAATCTCACGGTGGGCCTGATGTGATGCGATAACCTTTTCCCCTGGTAGTATCCCTCCACTTTTGAAAATACAAAATGTACCTTCCGGTGGATTTATTGACGTTGATTCATGTCTTATTTCAGACCGGCCTCCAGCTCCCGAGAATGTATCTGTGATCCACCTCCGGGCTGACTCTGCCACTGTGTCCTGGGACGTTCCAGAGGGAGACACCATCATCGGCTTTTCCATCTCGCAACAAGTATGTGTATGTTTTAAGTTTTTTATGTGACAATAGATGCACTAAAAGGTCACAGTAGCATCATATACGTCCAGTCCTCAGGTCTTTGCACTGGCCGACTGTGGCTCAGAGAATGGACATCAAATAATTTCTGCTTGTTACAAGTCTCTCCATGGCCTTGCACCAAAGTACATAAGTGACATGTTAGTGCCATATGCACCAACTTGGAACAGTCTTTCTGAAAATGTGAGACAGGCGTCTTCTCTGACCTTGTTTAAATCCAGGTTATAGAGAGTTTACATGTGCATACGACAGAGGGATTTTATCTTAACTCTTTTTAATGTAGTGTTATGAATACTGTATTTATGATATTAATGCCTTGTGTGGCTATCTCTATCTTATTTCGTTCAGCACTTTGAGTTGCCTCGTGTATGAATTGTGCTTTACAAATAAACTTGCCTTGCAGCCAATAAAAATCACTCAAAACGGGCTTTGAAAGTGAACAGCTCTATTCTCAGAAAATTACAAAAACATTTAAACCTTTGCACCTTTATAAGTTATGGGCTTGGGAGTTATTTGAAAGTTGTTTTCAGTATGGTGTGTATTTCTAGTGACTTATTTTGCATGGACGGTATAGCGCCAGTTAAGCCCTGAGTCAAAACAAGATGCCGCTCGGCTGATTTGTCGAGAAAGACCATCGGGCTGCGGCCTGAATGCAGAGCAGCAAATGGAGCAGCGACTGGAAAAAGACGAACCTCTACGCTGACATTTACTGAATTATCCATGAGCTTCAGAATTGTGATGAATGAGGACAGTTGCAGTTGTCGTTTGCCATTTAAAACTAAAAATATGGTGTGTTATGAATGGGAAAAGGGTTCTCAAAATTCTGAAATCCACGATACAGGCTTTGAACTATGGAACGATATGTGTGTTTTTCCTCCTAAGGCCAATTCAAAGTTTATACGCACGTTTTTTCTTGTGGGGATAGGGAGTGGCCATTTTGTTGCGTTTTTGAATGGATTTTAACTAAGAAACAATAATAATATATTGATCAAAGGAAGGTTTCTCACCCATCATCTGTACTTAAGATAAGATGGAAGGTAAGCTTCCTGCTTCTGGACAGAGCAGTCGCATTCTCTTGCTGCTCCTCGCTTGCTGCTTTTTTATCTCCTTTAATCATTTTTGCTTACATTTTTATTCCACAAAACACGGATTACTCCTTTTTACAAACTTCAACACAAGACTTGTGGAATTTACCTAACTTACAGCATGTCGGGAGGACGGGAAAGAACAAAACTTTGCGACGGCTGTTTTTCACTCAAACAGGAGCTAAAACTTCTTCAAGACCGAATGTTTGTGCTTGAATCAGAATTGGGGCTGAACACAACAATACCAGTGAAAGGAAATGGACCACATGGACAGAACGTAAGTTATGATGACGCTATTTCATTTCCCAAAATCAACAGAGACAATTGTTGGAACACATATGGTGCCAAGCCCAAACAAGGCAAAGCTAATGATAACAAGAGTGTCATAATGCCACAGCAAAAATCTTTAATTACAAGAAACCGCTTTTCACCACTTTTGGAAGATGAATCAGCAGTAGTCTCTACAACAAAGCTGCTAAAAACTGCAGCGCCTCCACCAAGGACAAACTGTGTCCTTATCGGAGATGGCTCGGTGAAAAATGTAAACATGGAGTCCATGCTCACTGTCTCAGTTCACTCTGCTAAAGTTGCTGAGATAAGAACTCTCCTGCCTAAAGTGTTATCTGAGAACAGTGGTGTGCGTACATTATTGATCCACACGGGGGCGGTAGATATCTATGAGAAGGCAAGCGAGAAGTTACGAATGGATTTAACGCTGTTACTGGATGACCTCAAGAAAATGGACATAACAATTTTTCTTAGTGGCCCACTGCCAAATATAGATGGAAAAATGGAGAAGTTTAGCCGTCTGTATCAGCTAAACACATTCCTACTCAATGAGTGTTCACGCAGAGGACTTGGCTTCATTGAAAACTTTAATCTGTTCTGGAATAGGCACGAGCTTTTTGAAGAAAAAGGCCCACATCTGAACAACTACGGAGTAAAAGTGCTGATGGATAACTTTGCATCTGCCCTAAGACCTCAGCCTGCGCAGCGCGTGCAGCCGTTGAAAGGGAGAAAGAAGAAGCAAAGGGCACAGACATCACGACCATCTCCACCGACTCCCGAGGTCTCTGCACCCCCACCGCCTCAAAAGAACTCCACACCTCCACGATTCAAGAAGAACTCAACACCTCCAAGGTTCCAAAAGAACTCAACACCTCCACGGCTTCGAAAGAGCTCAACGCCTCCACCCCCAGCATCATCAGCAGCTGCCACATCTTCATCAGCGCCATCAGCATATACAGCACCACCAGCAGCAGTGGATACAGCCGCAGCAGTGGCTGCTCCATCATCTTCAGCAGCAGCAGTGGATACAGCAGCAGCAGTGGCTGCTCCATCATCTTCAGCAGCAGCAGTGGATACAGCCGCAGCAGTGGCTGCTCCATCATCTTCAGCAGCAGCAGTGGCTGCTCCATCATCTTCACCAGCAGCAGTGGATACAGCAGCAGCAGTGGCTGCTCCATCATCTTCAGCAGCAGCAGTGGCTGCTCCGTCATCTTCAGCAGCACCTTCCCCACCTACAGCTCCCGTGAAGCTTCCCCCATTACTCCAGGCTACAGTCAGGCCTGTACTGGGGGGTTCCTCAACCACCTCTGTCTCCACCAAAGACTCCCTCATCACCTTCCATGGACCCGGCTTGGGTCCCCCCCGCTACATCCACTCCATCTAGGGAAAATGAGGACGACCTTTCCCTTTGTTTTCTATCCCCGCCTTCACTACTGGATTTACCGGAACACTCTGCAGGCATGATAAGATCGGCGATGAAGACTATTCCTCTCACACCCACTGTAGCCAGATCAAGAGTCCTATCTAACATTCAAAACTACTCCCCATACGTACCTCCAAAGCCACCTAGGGCGTCCAACTCAAATTCTCCCACAAAATCCACCCGTCCCTCCTCTAACCCCATAAGTATTCCCCCCCCCCTCCTGCTCATTTAGCCCACCTCCCCCCCCCTAACTCAGCACCAAGAAACCCTCCACCTCCACTCCCCCCTCGTCCACCACCCAACTCAGCCTGCCCCTCCCCTAACCCATCACCAAAAACCCATCCACCTCCCTGCCCCCCTCGTTCAACACCCAAAAGCCACCCACCTCTCCATCCTCCTCCCCCGCCTTCCCCTACCCCTCTTTTCTCTAAACACTAGGATGCACAGGGTCTCTGCTTCGCAGCCACTGGCAGTCTAGTTAGAGGAGAGACCCGGCTGGGGCCCTGTCATGAAGCCACCTGTGCCATTCCCTTAGTGATAACACAAAGAATACATTACAGAAAAACATCTGGAGTTAATCAGTCTAATCTGGAAAATCTAATTCTTGTTCCGTGTAAGAATCAGCCGACCTCAACCGCTGATACTGAAACTTTGAAACTTGCTACGCTTAATGTCAGATCTCTTTGTAACAAGTCTTTTTTAATAAATAATTTTATTTCTTCTCATAATCTTGATCTTATGTTCATGGCTGAAACTTGGCTTGACCAAAATTCAGAAAATGCAGTTTTAATAGAAGCATCACCACCAAATTTCAAGTTTGAATCTGAAATACGGGAAAACAAAAAAGGAGGAGGCTTAGCTTCCATTTTTAGAGACCACTTTGTCTCCCATAGAATGTCTCTTGGGAAGTTTTTGTCATTTGAATATGTGTCTTTTAAAATACAACAAAAACAATCTCCTCCAATACTCTTCGTTGTCCTATACAAGCCACCGCAGTCATGTCACAGTTTTATTGATCATTTTACCGAGTTGCTTTCAGTTGTATGCACAGATTTTGATAGTTTGGTTATTACAGGTGATTTTAATATTCATGTGGATAATGTTGATGACAGAAATGCAAATGAGCTGAGTTCTGTACTTGAATCCTTTGATCTCACTCAGCACGTAAGTGGCCCCACCCACAGCAGAGGGCACACTCTAGATCTGTTAGTTACAAAGGGGGTGATTATTTCAAATGTAAACGTGGTCGATGTTGCTCTTTCGGATCATTTCTGTGTTTTTTTTGACATGTGTTTCACTAACAAACCACCAGTGGACTCTGCAACTGTTCGAAGAAGTCGCATAAATGAAAATACGAGTGAACTATTTATGGAAATGATAAACTTTGAGAATGCATCGTATTCTACTGTAGATGAACTGTTTAACTCTGTCACCTCTAGTGTTTTGAATGTTCTGGATACCGTTGCCCCTGTGAAGGTTAAAATAGTGAAAAATAAGCAGAAGGCGCCGTGGGCTAAAGCAGACTCGGTCAGGGCACAAAAGAGAAAGTGCTGGAGGGCCGAGCGGAAGTGGCGCAAGTCCAACCTCCAGGTAGATTACGAGATCTTCAAAGATAAGTTGTGCGAGTTTAACCGGGTGCTACGTAGTACGAGAGAAAGGTATTTTTCTGAAATGATTGAAGGCTGCAGCAACAATCTGCGTGTTCTGTTCTCAACAGTTAATAGATTAACAAACCCCCCTGTTCAAATGCCATTAGAGCTTACTTCCAAACGTAAATGCAATGAGTTTGCTAATTTTTTCAATGACAAGGTTCAAGGCATCAAAAGCGCCATTGTCTCCAATCCACAGATAACCATCCAACAGCCAGAAAGGCTCTCTGAGCTAACTCACTTTGCACCTGTAAATGATAAAACTGTCCAAGAGATAATCTCCAGTTTGAGCTCCTCCACATGCAGCCTGGATGTACTACCCACTAGATTTCTAAAGTCTGTTCTGAGCAGTCTGTTACCTTCACTCACACAGATAGTAAACATGTCCCTTCATTCTGGAATATTCCCAAAGGCCCTGAAAACTGCAGTCATCAGGCCCCTGCTAAAAAAGAGCAGTCTGGATGCCACTGTACTTAACAACTATCGTCCCATCTCAAATCTGCCATTTATGGGGAAAGTCCTTGAGAAAGTTGTCTACCTACAGCTTACTAGATTTCTTATAATCAACAACTCATTTGATATGTTTCAGTCCGGCTTTAGACCCCACCACAGCACTGAGACTGCTCTCGTTAAGGTTACAAACGATATCCGGCTGAACACTGACGCAGGCAAAGTCTCAATCTTAATCTTGTTAGATCTAAGTGCTGCCTTTGACACCGTCGACCATGAGATCCTCTTACAGAGACTAGAGGACTGGGTTGGCGTCACTGGCACCGCCCTAAGTTGGTTTAGGTCTTACCTTGAAGACAGGAAGTACTTTGTGGAGATTGGAAACTGTGTCTCAGATCATATGGCCCTGACCTGTGGAGTCCCACAGGGGTCGATCCTGGGACCTCTTCTGTTCAATCTCTACATGCTGCCGTTAGGTCAGTTAATACGCAGAAACAAAGTTTCCTATCATAACTATGCAGACGACACTCAGATCTATGTCTCACTGACTGCAGGAGAACATGGACCAGTGGACTCACTCCTTCACTGTATCCAACAGATCAGTGAGTGGATGCAAAACAACTTCCTTCAGCTAAACGCAGACAAAACTGAAATGATTGTCTTTGGTCCCCAGAAACAAAGAGAGAGCGTCATCTGTCACCTACAGTCTCTCTCCCTAAAACCTTCAAACAAGGTCAGAAATCTAGGGGTAATACTGGACTCAGACTTAAATTTTAATAGCCACATCAAATCAGTAACATCAGCAGCTTTTTACCATCTAAAAAACATTGCCAGGATCAAAAACATAGTGTCTAAAGCAGACTTGGAGATTCTTATCCATGCATTTGTCTCCAGTAGGTTAGACTACTGCAATGGCCTGCTCACAGGTCTGTCCAAACAGGCTGTAAAACAGCTGCAGTACATTCAAAATGCAGCAGCTCGAGTCCTGACAAGAACCAGGAAGTACGACCACATTAGTCCAGTCCTCAGGTCTCTGCACTGGCTTCCTGTGGCTCAGAGAATAGACTTTAAAACAGCTCTGCTTGTGTACAAGTCTCTCCATAGCCTCGCACCAAAATATATTAGTGACATGTTAGTCCCATATGAACCAGCCCGGACTCTGAGGAGCACAGGGACTGGACTCCTGTTAGTGCCCAGAGTCAGAACTAAACATGGGGAGGCTGCTTTTCAGATTCATGCTGCTAAAATCTGGAACAGTCTTCCTGAAGATGTCAGACAGGCCTCCTCTCTGACAATGTTTAAAACCAGGTTAAAGACGGTTCTGTTTAACTGTGCATACAACTGAGGGATTTTATATTTTTATCTTTCTTTTTAATGTTCTGTGATAATTTATGATTTTAATGCTTTCTTGTTTTGTTCAGCACTTTGAATTGCCTTGTGTATGAATTGTGCTATATAAATAAACTTGCCTTGCCTTGCCTTGCCTACTTCTTAGAAGGTTTTCCTCATGGGGCCTCAGGATTAGGATTAGGTTATACATCTTCAACGCACGGTCTGAGCTTTCATTCCCTTGAAAAAAAGCCAACAAATAAAAGATCAACTGAACATGACAAAACTGACCTGGCACAAGACACACAGGGGAACATTTAACCTGGGTGATCAGACCAAACAACAATAAAAAGGTTAACAGGACTATTACACAGAATACTTAATTTTTTCCTAGGTATAATTCAAGTAAATAACCTGCGCAATATTATTAGTCGTGTTAGCCCCATTAGTTGTGGGGCGACAGTAGCTCAGCTGGTAGAGCATTGGCCTTTGGGCCTGAAGGTCGTGGGTTCGAGCCCACCATAAGACCTACTTCACGACTCCCACTGATGACTGCTGTCGTTGTGTCCTTGGGCAAGACACTTAACCCCACTTTGCCTGAAGCCCCCACTGAAAGATCTCAGCTCCTGTGGACTCACCACCTGCAGGAGGATCAGTGAGGGGCTGGTGCTAAGTGTACTGGGTGCAGCTCTGACTGCCACCCCCCCGACCCAGAAATGGATTAAGGAGAAGAAAATGGATGGATGGATGGAATATTATTAGTCAACAATGATAATCATAATATTGAAAAATGATAAACTCATATATACTTATAAACAATATAAACTCAAATAAACCTCACAAAGCTGGGAGCCTGGAAGTAACACCCCCAGCTGGAGTGGGCTCCAAGTGTGAGGGTAAAATATGAAAACTAGAAATGTGCCAAACGCTTTGTGAGAGCTATATGAATAGATTTTGTCCCTTCATGGTTTGAAAATCATTGCCTGTAAATGCAGCAGAGAGATGGGGGCAGAAGAGAATCAAGCTTGTGTCTATTGAATACCTGAATGAAATGGCTATAAAGACACAGACTCTGGCAGCACAGAGAAATGTGCTTTTTCACTGCTGCCAAAAATAGAACAGTATAAAGGTCAACAAATAAAACTGGCTTGGACGTTCATTACCCAAGTATTCATTCAAAACTTATCCGACTTTCACCTGATGAGATTTCAATTTCCAGCCCAGACTCCATATGGCAACAACAAGGCGCCAATTGTTAATGTAATAAGGCCGTCTGCTCCCTGTTTACTCGGCTCATAGCGTTCTGCCCGGTCACCTCATCGTCACGCTCTGGCTGCAGTGGATTTTCTTTGTTATTTCTTTACATTTTGTTTTCAAATGTAAAATTCATCACTGTCAAAAACCCAAACCATCAACGCAAACACCACAGAGTCAAAACAGTCCAAAAAGGCTTGACGGTTGTTGTTATAGTGAATACAAAATATGTGAAATTAAGATGCAAATCACAGCAAGAGTAGAACTACCTTTGTCACAGGTTTGACTTTCCTTATTGGATTATCATGACTGGTACAAAAAGTATTGCAGTTTTATTGAGGAAAAGTTTCACAGGATGCGTAGAATGGATAGTCTCTATATTTCATGATGTTTTCCCATGAGTCTCACTAAACAAGTGCTGCCAAATCACAGGTACTCTAGAAAAGCACTAGAAAAGATCAATTCATAAAAATAAAATCTAAAATTTCCTGGATCCAGACACTGACCTGGTTCACTTTCACTTACAATGTTTCCTGAAAATGTCCTGTCCTGAAAACAGAAAGCCACAATCTGCAGATTACAATGGAAAAATACTGCAGGGTATTGGCTACAGATGTGGAACATTTTAGACAAATTAATACTATGTAGCTGACCTCTGACCATAAAATATACTGTATCTTGAATATCCTCTTTCTTATATCACTTTGGCCAGAAAAGAAAAATAATTGACTTACTGATTAAATGCCCTATACACTTTTGCTAATTTGGGAAAGAGTGAAAACTGGGCAGAGAAGAAGCTATTTAAGCCTCTCAGATTGTTTTTGGATGATAGAGGAGAAAGCACTTTGATGTTTTTGACCCGCACCCATTGGAGAGCCCATATTGCTCCAATCTTGAAGTCCTGGCGCTAGCTTTCCGTCTCAAATAGAACCACATTTTAAATTCTGGTGCCAATATTCAGGGCTCTTCATGGTCAGACGCCTGAATACATCAAGGGCCTGATCCAGCCTTATGTCTCCAACAGGAGCTGACGTTCTCCACTCAGAACCTGCTGATGGTCCTCATTAAAAAACCAGAGGAGACAGATCCTTCCAGGCTGTTGCTGCTCGCCTTTGGAAAGAGTTTTCCCAGTCTCTGCAAATGTTAGAGTCCGACACAATTATGAAACTACTATAACTCCCAGAGCCGTCATTTTAACTTCTCCATTCAAACCAATGGAATTTTGAGAAATTCCCCGCAAAAAAAATTTCTCGCTTTTACTAAATGCTAAAGACCAAATGTCAACTGCTGACAGTAAACAGTGTGTTGTTATAGTAACCAGAACTCCCTCCTAAAAGAACTACTAGAAAACTACTCACGTTTCAAAAAATAAAAAGATAATTTCTTAAAGATAATGACAGAAATAAACTACAATAAGCTACGAGAGATACAGAAAAAGTCACAAAGACATGAAGACCAAAAAGGTATGTGCGTACTGTGTTAATACTTCTAACGATACTTCTTATGTATTTCTGTTTTTGGAACTGACATAAATGTGTATTGTTTTTCTTTGTATCCTTTTCATCGTGAAGCGCTTTGTGATCCTGGTCTGATGAAAGGTGCTATACAAATAAACTTGACTTACTTCCTGGCCTGGTTTTCATCATGACCATAGCTGTTGTGTCTTACCTCCATGCTCCTCCTCATGCAGAGGCAGGACGGACACATGCAGAGGTTCATTCGGGAGGTGAACACGACCAGCCGCTCCTGTGTGCTGTGGGACCTGGAGGAGGAGGCGGACTACATCATCCAGGTCCAGTCCATCGGTCTGTACGGGGAGAGCCAGGCCAGCAAGAAGGTCCACTTCCGAACGCTCAAGAAAACTGACCGCCTGCCCTCCAACAGCTCCAATCAAGGTGAGAATAACACAGATAGTGCTTCAGTTGTGATGCGCCTAAACAATTTGATTCATACTTTTGATTTGAACAGACCACATACAAAATAGCAAACAATAAAAAAAGACACATTTTAGGATCACATCATAAGGGGGAAAAAAAGTAACATATGAGCTGCAGATATTTAAAACAGTCCCTCCTCTTGAAATAAGCATCACCAGTAGGAGAATAGTTAGACCAATGATGAAGGGCCTCAGCTGTGGATTTGAATTCCTTGCGTCCAATCAGCAACCTGTGGGGGCGGGTCTAACTGCCGCTTGAATTTGATAAACATCTTTCCATCTTCACTAATTGAAAACTGACCTTCACTTTAAAAGGGACATGAACAATATTCAGATTTTGACAAGGAAAAATTCATCTGGAGCGGGGCCTTGGATATGACCACAGTTTTGCTGATACCTTGTAAAGGGGCAGAGAGCAGATCCATGTGGCAGGACTGAAACTATGCTGACCTTTTTCTTTTTCTTTAACACAGCTCATTGAGATGTAGATCCATGTGCATTTTAAGTTACAGCTTCATCAGAAGAATCGAACCTGTGTTTTATATGAGGCATTCTTCCCGTCTTTAATTACTGTCTTTTTTACCACAGCAGATGGTAAAAACAAACAGTTTTTGCAGCGCATCACATTCTATAATTACAAGTTTACAATAAAGAAATGGGATAGAGGCAGAGTCTTAGAAAACTCACATATTGATCCAGGCAGACGAAACTCTCAGGAGCCTATTGAAATTCAAATGATCCTTCTTCACATTGTTTAATATGGAAACAAGGGCGTGCAGCTACTTTTACATTCAGCAACGTAATCACATTATCACAAAGGCTCTACACAGGAAATATGAAAGCATCATTGACGTGCTTCCTATAAATTACAAAGTACGAGTTTGCAAGCTTTTTTTTTGTGCCAGGTATGTACTGTACAAATTGTTTACTTTTCAATAGCAGGGGGGTTGACTGCCAAGGGATTGCTATATGGATATAGGACACATATGCAAGCGTAATATTGTACAGAAATCATACATAAATCATATTCAGTTCAATTTAAATGTATTTTTTAATTCCCCTAAATCACAATAGCAGTCATCTCGCAGGCCAGGTTTTATGACGTCTTGCCACATGGATCTGCTCTTTGCCCCTGTATAAATTGCTCTAATAATAACATAAGTGAGACAGTACAGTACAGTGGAAGATTAAGTTAAAGGATTTTACATATAGTCAGTGTCCAAAGGCTATATCAGAAGTTTCTATAACACTGTAAAGGTAAAAAACAAAGTCAGTTACACAAAAGTGCTGTCCTTTAAAGAGTTTAAAGGACATGGTGTATGTGCAACGTTGAATACAAACTAATAGTTGCTTCTACTGATTTAAATATAGCCTTCGAAAAGGTCAAGCGGTCCATTCAATCGCACTGAACGTTCGTCACATTATGAGGACAGATTGGGTCCTAATGAGACCATTTATACTGTATTGACTACAACTTTTAGGACGGGATTTGTGAAAATGATTCGTGATAGCTGAAGCAAAATATAACCACTGAAAAGTAATTTGAAATAAGTACTTCTTTAGAGTGACCTTCTTTCCCTTTAGTCCCATGAAGAAGGCTGCCTGTCAAAAATATTTTTTTTTCAATTTGGGTCAAACCACAGATTCATAAAGCAAGTGGAAAATAAAAACAAGGACTGTTTTTCTGACCTACTTGGATGACTCTTGGGGCCATAAATCTAGATTATTGATTCTTACTCAATCTTGGCCACTTTTTAAACTAAAATATTCTCTAATCTCTGCACTTTCTCTGGACGCTTGACAACGCATAGTCGCTGTCACAATTTCCTAATGTAAAACAGCAGAAAGTGAGACTAACGACCAAGCTCACGCCTTGAACAGGAATCGTTGGCTGTGGACAATGCTGCCATCTTAAGTAATGTCCTCTGTCCTGAGTCAGCAAAATGAAACATGTATGAACTGTCTATGTCAGCGCTTCCCTTTCTTACCACGAGGTCTATGGTCAATTAGAGGAACATTACTTCTCAGTCAAAGTCAAACAAAAGTAGTTTCCATGACAATAATAAACTCAAAGACAATGTCGACAATGTCTTACTAAAGCTTGGACACATTTTGCACACATTATTATCCAAAAATGATTCCGCGAGTGCTTGAGAAAAGAGACTGTGTTGGAGAAAAATGATCTTTACTCCTTCTTTGTTGCAAAAGGCATGTGCTAAGGTCGTCCTGATGGCATTAGCTTAAACTCATCCTGACTGTGGCTCACTGCAGAAGAGCCTCCAGCTTTGTCTGCTCTTTGCCAAACACTTTCTCTCCTTTCTTCACTCTTCTGCCACCTTTTTTGTTCGATACTTTGAGTGTTTATAAATCTCTGCTACTCACAAATAACACAAAAATATATCCTCTTTTGAAGTCTTCCCTCAATTTGTAGCAATTTTTCTAATTGCTACAAATCTGTTTTTTCTAAAAAAAAACAAAATCAAAATTCTATATCTGGCAGAGAAAAGTCCTCTGTCCCTCATACACGCACACACACACACACACACACACACACACACACACACACACACACACACACACACACACACACACACACACACGCACACACACACACGCACACTCACACGCACACTCACACACACACACACACACACACACACACACACACACACACACACACACACACACACACACACACACACACACACTCACCCGACAAATACTAGACAATGTGTGTGAAATGTCAAGGGATACAACAACACCCAGTGCTAACCGGACCCTAACCAGGCCCTTCCCTGCTTAGCTTCTGAGGTCTGACTGGCTGAAACTTTCATATGAATGCAACAATGAACCGGCTGTAGACTGACCCCAGGCTTAAACTGGCATTCCATAGTCATGGTGCTCACAGAGACAAACAGAGGCAGGCAGAAAATATACTTGAATTACAATATAATAATCTCACATAATGCACTTATAATGTTGGGTTTAGTAAGTACAAATCTCGCTTTATTATAGCCAGTTATAGACAGTTTTATATTGATCTAGTTTCATTGCTGAATTTTAAAATACAAGAAAGTTCTAACAATGAGAAAACAAAATTTAAATTGGCACAGACACCAGAGTCGCTAAGCTAAGAATCCATCTTTGCTGTCATTGTAAAAAGTAATATGTTTTAATGTGAAGTGTTCTCTTTTAACCATATTGAAAAAGGAACCGAAAACGTACGCCGCAGAATCACTGACGTCACATAGATAAAACCAAAGTATACATAGGACCAAGTGCCCAGACAACTTGATTCTTAAATAAATTCAATTGGACAGAGTGCTGGTTTGGATCAAGTCCAGGGAGAGATAGTTTGAAGAGTGGGAATGGGCCTTTAGTCAATCCACTTAGAGCAGGATTAATGCTACAAGATTAATACGTTCTAATACACACAATCTCCTGTGCTACAATTTTGGTTAAATGCAGTCGATGCATTGGGGATGATTTAAAAGAAGCTGATCTGATCTGATCCTGAAACTGAGACACACAGTTTGTTTCTTGATGATAGTTTTCTTGTTTTGCAGATGACCCCACAGTGCTGGGCCTGGACAAGTCAAGACACCTTCAAACGGGGGAGATGATCATTATTGTGGTGGTCCTGGTCATGTGGGCAGGTGAATAACTCAACACTACTAGGTTTTACAATGCCAAAAAAGGGCTGCACAGTTAACCGCAAAGATATCCATATTAAAAATGCCACCCAAGTCTCATAGCACCAGCCCCTCACTGACCCTCTGCAGGTGGTGAGTCCACAGGAGGACGGCTGCTCTCTGAGTGTGAGCATAGCCTTGATCTTTCAGTGGGGGCTTTGGGCAAAGTGGGGTTAAGTGTCTTGCCCAAGGACACAACGACAGCAGTCATCAGTGGGAGTCGGTGGAGAAGGTGTAGAGGTGGGAATTGAACCCACGACCTTCAGGCCTGAAGGCCAATGCTCTACCAACTGAGCTACTGTCGATATTTTACATAATCCGAAACTGTCCCAAAGGGTTGCACAAAACAGGTCAGTCAGTAAGCATTTTATGAGAAAAGATAAAAACTACTCAATTCAAGCATTTATGTAACATTCTGTGGTTACTTGGTACATATACTGTATATCAAAAATGAATATTTAAAAAAATATATACAGTATATAAAAATCACATTGTTATCGCAGTATTGTTCAGAAATTGATTTCCCGTCACACACATAGGTATAAAAATAATTCTGATTCTGAAATATTGCACAGCCTTAAGAGCCAGACTGACTATGATTGTGTTGTCACATCATTACACAGCAAACGCCTGCTGCATGCTTCTTCAGCCCCGTCGTGACCCGGACCTCAGTAACTGCAGCTAAAGTCCTCTCCCCGCTGCGAGCTCATTCAAATTAAAGATGACATCCCCTCTAGTCTTTTGCAGCTCTGTCAGATTAAACTATCGTCACGCTGTCTTTCTCTGGTTCGCAGCACTTCTTCAGCAAAAGTTTGTGAGCTCCTCAAAGGGAAATGCCTAATGGTGTGATGACTAGTGCGTCTATCAGGATGTGTGGGAGACACGAGGCTTTTCTCACAACTGGGACAAGTGCTGTTGAGTGAATGCGGAGCTGAGTACACCAAGGCATACCAAAGTGGGTTAGGGTCACACAAGAGGCACACCTGCAGCAAGCTATCTTTTGGCTCATGGGCAATGTTAGACAGGACAGGGTGAAATTGGAATGAAGGGTATGGAGAGAAATTCAACGTTATTATTATGGCTGGCATTTGAGCTGGCACCCAAAAAATAAATATGTTACACACATTTTTTCAAATTGTGTCTTTTTAAATAACAAAAAAAAGTTGTCATTAGATAGAATTGAGCCAAGAGTACAATCACCAAGCATAGTCCCTGCTCAATTTGTGTCCTTTTCATTCACCCAAAACTATTAACTAACAAGAAGAGAAGAGTCAACATATAGACAAAAACTACAGACAATTAAAGTTGTTGTTCTAAATTTAGACTGGTACATTTGTCTCGTATCTGAGGCTTCGTGAGATATCTTTCATACACTACACAACTTTGTACAGTCTATGCAGCGGATATGCAGTAGATGGGAAGTGCACTTAAATTCCACTCAAAAGACTAAGCAGTGGTCATAGTGCATTTTAGTCTGACAAAGCCAATAACGGACGTCTTTCAGTTTGAGAAACCTTCTTGGCCATGCAGACGGCCTTGCGTCATCTGGTGATCATTTTAGTGTGAATTGTTTGAGCATTCACAAAAGCATTCCACAGCAAAAATGTTCTATTGCTTTTATCATTTGCACATTGGAACAGATAAAGCGTAGGATTCATTATTATTATATTATTATATAATTAATATTTTCTTGATCGCTCCTGTTCCCATCAGCCAAACTCTCTGATGTAATCTTTGTGAGATCGTGAGATTGTGAGATTGTAAGTTTTGTATGTGCAGATCGTGTTAGGGTTAGGATCCATTTACTTTCCTCTCATGTTGTGTGTCGTTCACCTGTCGTAGCCGTGATCGCCCTGTTCTGCCGCCAGTATGACATCATCAAAGACAACGACTCCAGCAACAACAAAGAGAAGGCCAAGCCGTCGTCGGAGCACAGCACGCCCGAGCACCACAGCGGGGGCCTTCTCCGGAGCAAGGTGAGAGCCGCTCTGCACACGACCCCATGACTTCAACGACTGTAAGGGGGGAGCACACATGCACGCTCCACCCGTTTCCTCAAGTGAGTCCAGTTTTAACCTGAAGCGCTTGTTCGGCGACCTCGCTCCCATCTCTGTGTGGAGTCGGAGACAAATGACCACAACAATTGTGAGACTCTGGTCAGTGAAAGGCGCTATATAAATAAAGATTACTTACTTACTTGTGTGCTCCTGCTCAGGTTGGAACTAAAATCTTCACCCCCCCACCAGCCCTTTTAGGACCAGTTTGCCCACCTCTGCCTTTAACACACAGATATTGTGATCAATAAGTATACCTTTGGAGCAGGTATGAGTGAGGAAGTAATCTTATATTTCACAGACCAAGGTCACACCAAGCACCTGTACACTCCATTGACTTTACAAAGAAGCGAGACACCGAACAACTGGCGCATCAAAGCCCATGACCCTCTGTATAGGCTTTAGTGGCATGAAGATGTGTACTGTATAATTCAAACTCAAGTGCAAGGCAGTTCAATTTCCTGGATTTTGTTCCTTGTGCCTTACATAAAGCACACACTTTGTACTGTATAAAGCATGTAAAACGTAAACCCCCCCCCCCCCCCCCCCCCCAATTCATAATTATTACCCCCTGGGGGAGGTAATAATGAGAATAATAAGAATATTCATTTTTTTATCGTTTCTTTTTGATGTAGGCAGACATGAGGATGAGGATCTGAGGCATTTATGTACATTTATTAATATTCATGGACATTGGTCTTCCTGCTCCCTATGGACCATAAGCTCCTTGATGTCAGTCATTAATGCATTTCCTTACAGTCAACATTTGATAAACCACACAGAGGTGCAGCTCGGGGCCCTTTCAGGAACATTGCATTGTTCATGGAGAATACATGACTTCAGTATCTTCTGCCCAGCTACCAAAGGATACAAATAAGCTGGAAATCTAGAAGAACCTGCTTGAACTAAATGGGACTGACAATAGTGATTTATATAAGGCTGACTTCACAATAAAGTTGTGAATTTGTCTTACCCCAACTAGGCTCATCTGTCTATTCGAAATGTTCATTAAATATTTAAAGTTTACTGACAGCAAAGGTCTCTAAAGGGAGTGAGGAGTCATGAATACGGCGCATGTTAAAAAGGTCTCAATAATGAGTCCTGATAAACAAGAGCATCTGCACTGGGACTGAGGACTGAGTCTGCTGCTCTCTGACAGGACTAAAGGTCTGCAGGCATCTCATTTCCCCGCTCATTAGTTTGAGCAATGTAATATCAGGGAGCAGGACAATAACAATACTTGGAAACTTTGTTCGTGTAGAGCTCTCACAGGGATTCTGCGAAAAATAATAATAAAGTTTAAAAGTTTGCGAAGGGTTAATCAATAATTGTTGGTTTCAAAAGGAGACCTGACGAGTTTAATATAAAGTTGTGCTTTTTTGATTGTGTGGTTATATTTGAGAATTTGTAATGCTAATGCGCACACTGCTACTGGATGTGTTGGTTCCATTTATAGTCAAACACATTTTTTGAAATTCTAATGACAATTAAAACTTCAGACTCTGCATAGAAGTGTCCCCATCCCCCAGTCTTCCATGCACTCTGACAATAAAGCAGCCTTTCTAGGCAAAAACCGACAGTTCCCAGACATATTTTTTATTTGAGAATATATATTACTTTACACAACTGAGTGGGGAAGAAAGTGTGTGCGTGAAATCAAATAATATAGCCAAAATAGTTAAATCTATGTAAAAAGTGAATTATGTTTAAGGCTTAGAAGGTTCTTTTAATAAGACAATTTTTTTTTAAAAGAAGCTACTAGGTAATTAACTAGTAATAGCTTCTTTAAAAATTGTTGTCCTATTAAAAGAACCGTCTAAGCCTTCAGAGTTAAATGTATGGCTGGACGTGCAACATTCCAACCGCAGCCGTACCTCTAGGCTTCTAAATGCGTCACTTAATTTGCTCGCTCCAATATATTCCTCATATTTCCTCCAGTTCCATCCATCCACGCCTTCTATCAACATCATTGAAGTGTGAGACGTCCCCTGCCTCACTGCACTGAAGCTAAAGACTCATGTACAGCAGGAGGACCACTGCTCTCCTTTACGGTCGACGGTCACCATAGCAGCAGAGCGACCAATGAAAGAGGACGTATCTGCCAGGTGCTTTGTACATTTCTGCAATACAGGACACCAACACAAGTCATCTCTGGGAAGCCTCGTTTTGAATATGTATTTTTGATAAGTGCATGTCAAAATAGACCAGTTCACGTGACATCACAACATTTTAAAAAGCCTATAGTTTAAAATGGTGGAGGAAGAGTGCTGGAAAAGTCTGGTAACAATGAGGAAAAGTCAGATTTCTAGTCTTAATTTAGAATCTATCTATCTGTAATTTCTGGGCATATCAGAAATTACAGAAATGGGACATATCAACTATTGTCTAATTATTTTCTCATATAGGTGTCTAGAAGTGGCCAATAGAAACAACTTTTAAACATAATATTGTGAATCCGAACACTATCAATCTGGGGAAACATTTGGGCATTGTCTTTTTCACCAATTCTGTATGAACCCAAACATGTAGTGGCATCTGAAACATAAATTTACAACATTAACACAACCTATAGAATTAATTCAGCTAAAAGCCAATGTCTTCTGTTGTGATAGTTGCTGCAATGGACAAGTAGTAGGCTTATACACGGAGAGCTAATTATGTACATATAGATTACAGTCATTACCATCATTTAATGTGAGGACACTTTTTTGTAAACAGAATAAGACATTGTTCAATTGTATAATACCATGGTCATTTCTTCATCTTGACCAAACAAAGTGCATGCAACTTAGCAGTGGATGTCTATTCAGTTAAAGGACCAAAGTTGAGAATACGCCTGATGGCAGTGCAGTGAAATAATAAAACAAATACCTGTTTGTGTGTGTGTGAGTTTTGCTTTTAACACATGATGGCACATGGTCTGTATGGTATAATTCATGCATTACAGTATATTTCCATTCTATTGAACTTCCATCTGGTAGTTTTGACCGAATAGGGGTTAACATTTTACACACAAATATATATTAAAAATCATGAATTGTTGTAGTCGTGTTTTTAGATATTCAAATCACTTCTGATGGGAGTTCAATTGACCCAAATTTCTTAAAAAAAAAAAAAAGCCCATAAGGAACATAGCGATAGATTGAACATGTATAGTTTTTCTTTTTCTCACCATTTATTGTCAAAAATCCTCTCCCAAAAAGGTTTTAGTTTCTCAAAACACTTGCAACTTGTCAAAAGAAAGCACTTTGAAATTGCTAGAACAGCACACGGGTTTATTATAAGGAAAAGGATTGGGGCATTCAAGGAGTTGGCGGGTAGTGGGGAGTCTGGGGACTATCTCAAAGAGGATTACAAAGATATATGAAGATTAATGACATATTATATCAGTGCGATTCTATCTGAAAAACCTACACCTGTGTTTCCTGTATCGCAGCAGAGCACTGACCTCCACAAAGAGCTCCCCATAGATTCTCATTATCAAACGCTACAAGTCTCTCGCTATGAAGCAGCGATGCAACCGGGCACTTTATCTGCCGCTAATTAACCGTATCAAAATTGTCTTTAGCAATTAATTAAACAGTTATGAATACTAAATGGGATGTTTGTGTGCGGATCCGGAGACACAGCGAGCAATTAGGGCAAAGGCAGTGAACAATGAGGCCGGAGTAAACAGCAGCATATCTCACACTTACAGAGACTGCCGCGTTTTCAAATCTGAACGCAATGGATGGGATCAACTCTGAAATGTATGAATATTTGAGCATTCTCAGTTTCAACACTAACAATGGTTGATTTATCATGTTGTATTTAAGCATACAGAAACAAGAGGGAGATATCACCAGGTTAAAGGTGATGTCTGCGACTTGAATTGATATAAAGTATTCCTCATAAAACATATATTTAAAACATACGTCACCAGTAAGATTTGCTGGAGGAGAATAGTTAGTCCAATGGTGAGGGGCCTCAGCCGGCTATCAAGGATTTGAGTTTATTGCGTCCAATCAGGAAACTGTGGGGGTGAGTCTAACTGGTGCTTTCATTAGAAAATTGTTTCTCCATCTTCCCAAATTGAAAAGTAACTCTGACTTTACTTCAAGTCAGTCTGGTGCCCTGTGTATCCCCCCGCTAACATAGAATTATAGCTTCAAAGTGTATTCATAGTAATAATAATAAAAACATTTCTCAGGCAACTTCTAGATACTCAGGGTGCCTTACATCACAAATAAAAAGTAAATTTAGTTAAAATACAGGTTAGAATACAGTTAAAAGCAGCATGAACAAAGGAATGTGTGGTTATAATGTTAGTGAGCATAGGCTTGTAGAGATGAGTTTTGATGAATATGAATAAATACAGAATTGTTTTATTGAGTGAATTAGCATTAAAATTATAGTGTATGTCATTGTAGCAAACCTAAACCTTTTACTGTCAATGTTTGCTAGTTAATAATGAAACTGTAATACGCTTGCATACTCCAAGGGGTCAACGTACCCTCAGTTGGGAAACACCGGGCTAAGTCACAGGTCATATCTAAGTGATAGACCATATCTACGGGGAGGCTGAGATCACTCAATGTTAGTTTTCAGGTTTTGAGAAATAAAACCATCTATAATTCAACAAAGCTGAGCGAGACCGCACTAACGTCTCCATGGCAGCAAGCAGGTATCCATCAGAAAAGTGTATGCTTAATCCCCTTCACATAAAAAAAAGAACACAATCTAACACAACATGAATGCAGGTTTTAATAAGGCAAACTCTTATGTAGATGAATAAATGATACTGAAAAGTCTGCAGTCTGGTGATACAGCCTCAGACGCTAAGGAGACAGAATGAAGGCCAGTCTCAGAGGATCTGTCTGCAGCAGTGCTCTGGTGCCAGCCCTTCTGAGATCTGGCTCCAAAACAGCCAGAGTTCAGCCAGACACCGACCAGACTGCGGCTGCTTTTCATTTTCAAAACTCTATCAGGTTGAGGTCATTTCAACAATAGTCCAGCATCTACAGTATATATATCTATCATGAAAGTGCAGATATAGAAAAGTTGTGAGCCTTTCATTCACGGGCAAAAAGCCAGAGAACAGAAGTATTGACGTGAGCAAACTGCGCTGTGTCCTTGTCTTTGATCGACCAATAGAAGCTGAAGAGTATTTCTCAGAGCAACTATAGATTAGATTTCATGTTTCATTTAAAGAAGGAAAGAGTCTAAAAGATCCAAGATGTGATTTTTGTTGGGCCCCAGGGCAACACAGAGTTAATCAAGTTACTTTTCCTCAGGTTTTATTGACCAAATGTTTGAGTCAATTCCAGAAATGAAATGCATTTGCAACAGAAAGCCACAAAGTAGACCTACAGTTCTGGCTTGAAAGCTGTGAAAGGGAAGTTATAGCGTGATATAAAGAAAGAGGAAACAGACATTCAGTTGGCATCACTTGATTTTAAACATGAAAACAATGTAATAACAAAGACCAAACGAATTTATTCAAAGTTTATTGTGCATAAACCAAACAAACTATATACACTTTTGTACACTTGCAACTTGGGAGAAAATATCACAGTATGACAACGTACCAAACCTGCTATTTGCATAGTAAGAACTAAGCACCAAGTATTGTAAACTATATAAGCATTAGTTTATTGTAGTCATTAACCCTCGTCCAAAGCAGTTTCTCGTAGTCCTAAACCTGTCATAGATGAGCAGAGAAATTCATGAATGAATGAATGTTTAATCTTTTAAATCTTGGCCAGTGCACATGGACGAGGGACACCACTGGAAATGCCATATGGTGCAAGCTTGTGCCAAACCAGACTGAGGTTGAACCAACAAGTGCATTGCCAATTCATTTCCTAATGCACTGGTGTATTGGAAAACAGAAACGCCATAATAACCACATCCTTTTACCACATCCAGATACGCTGTCATTCAATTCTGTGATGAAATAATATGGTTAAGTGTTATGCACGTTTTTGGGGGTGGAAACATATTTCTTCAAACCCCTAAAAATGTACCCACTAGAATGACAAAGGAGCCAAAATTAGCCAAAATCAGAAGCTTAAAGGTGATGTTTTGTCATCCTGTAGAATCATCTGTATGAAGTATTCTTTTATGATAAATATAGTTAAAACCCCTCCCCTAGGAATAAGCATCAACAGTACGATTGGCTGAAGGACGAATAGTTAGACCAATGGGGGAGGGGCTCAGCTAAATCAATTGCGTTCTCTCAGGACCCCGTGGAGGCGGATCTAACTGCCGCTTGCGTTCGAACAACCCTTTCTCCATCTTCACAACTGACCTTCACTTAAAAGGTGATGTCAGCCACTTAAATCATATTTTGTTCATTTTACCATGGAACACTGCACCATTATGTACAGTAAGTATTATTACAGTTGTGGTCAATACTTAAAATAGTCCATCCGTTTGTCATAACTTTGATCAGTAAGATTTGATAGAAGAGAACAGTTAAACCAATGACGAGGGGTCTTAGGAATTTGAATTCATTTTGACCAATCAGGAGACTGCAAAGGGTTAGAATGGGCGGGTATAATCAATGCTTGTCTACGTACGGTTTCACACTCTCCTCACGTTTCAAAAGTAACAGAGATTCACTTTAAAATTGCAACAATGCATTCCAGCCTTGAGCATTCTCCAACAACAATGAATCAATGCAAGAATAGTGCTGAGAGGTCGACAAAGAAGCAAAGACTGTGTTGAATAACTGCTGATAGTTGAAAATAAAACCAAATGGGAGACTATAAATGTGCCAGACGATATCCAGCACATATAATGATATCCTACTTGAATAAAATGTGTTGTGCAATCTACTTTAATGCCTCCATGAGTTTCTCCTTGATCTCGCTGACCTTGACTCCCAGTGCGTGTCATATGTAGCTAATAGTTTGATGAGATCTGAAACGCTCTCTCCTCTCATGAGTAAAACAGCATAATTTAAGCGTCATAGCAATAACCTGATAAGCCCCTTCAATTACACTGCAGTGGGTGTCATGACAACAGCATGCCCTTATATGGACCACTGCGGGCAGACTGGGCCACAATGTACAATTCACACAAAAAGCGATTTAAAGCATTAGATATAGACGTTCAGTAAAGATGGAGGAAAGACAAAATAGTGTATTATTGATAATCAGAGTAATTGAACTGTCCGTTTGAAAGCATTTGAGGGAATGTCTAAAGGTTGTTGACAAAGGGCAGAGCTGACGATAAAAATAGCTGTAGGGAAAAAATCCAAGCAGGTTTCTTTAAAAAACATGCTGTATTTTTATTGCTGTATTATTCTGTCCAAAAGCTCGTGTCTCAAACCTGTAATGTTATGATGTAATAGTAACAAGATCACACATGCATTGTCCATGAATTTGTTTCGGCAATTTCTTAGTTGATTCACGTAGTTCAAATTTGTAGAAAAAAAAATTTCAACTGAGGATAACTTGTTTTATCCTTGATACATATTTTATTTATAGATAATATTTCACATTATAAAACATACTGTATTTATAATGTATGTTGTTTTACTTTAAATGGCAAATAAAATGAATCTGAATTATCTGAAAACATAACAAGTAAAAAGTAACATAATTTTCAATGGCCCAAAATAATGCATCATATTTCTGCATTTACAGTAAATAATGGCCAGTATGACAAAGTACCAAACCTGCTAAGAACAAAGTATGAACTGAGCACCAGTATATTGTACACTATATAATCATTAGTTTATGGTAGTCATTAACCCTAGCTCGTCTAAAGCAGTTTTTCATAGTCCTAAACGTGAGCAGAGAGAGATTGTGCATCAATTTTGACACAATTTCTTTTAAATCTTGGCCAGTGCACTTGGACGAGGGACACCACTGGAAATGCCATATGGTGCAAGCTTGTGCCAAACCGGACTGAGGTTGAACCAACAAGTGCCTCGCCAATTCATTTCCTAATGCACTGGTGTATTGGAAAACAGAAACGCCATAACCACACAGCCACATCCTCATCATCAATGTATCTCAGGAAGTTCAAAAACTAATATTTACCCGTACTCCATCCCTTTACACTGGAACGTCTGCAATATATATATGACAGCTTCATCAAACAATTTGTCTGACAAGAGCCTTTGAGTGTTTAATTACAAGAGATCAAGCAGTAGAGTCTCTGATCTTAAAGCGTCTTCAATAAAACAATCAAAAGTGTGTATGATCCCATGTGGCATCTTTCAGTCTGTGAGCAGTCTTTTCATCTTGTAGTTTGTCAATTATATAGAAAGTCTGTTTACACTGAGGAAAAGTGTTTGAGCTGGTGCTGACTCTGAGAAAAAGCAGTTTTGTGAGAGAAGGTAACTCTCCGATGGCTTTTCAGCAGCAGGAGAAGAAAACAGACCAAAGTCTCGGGTCCACAAAGAGCCAGCAGCAGGTGAAGGAGGTTCAGCTGCTGACGCCTCAGAGCTGCATCGTCAGGGCGTGGTTTGGACTCGAACAGTCTGGAAGGAGAAGAGAGAGGACATCTCCGTTGACATCACCCGCCTTAAACACCCAAATAAAATGTAGAAAACAGTCAATATACTTATGATATATCAAGCCTTTACTTGTTATCAATTATTTTGTAACTGTTTTACTTCGGAGAATCTATTATGCTCTCAATCATCCTTCCACAACACATGCTCCCACTAGAAACTGTACAGTCCCTACATTATATACAGAACTTCTTTGTCAGTCCTCCTTTTCAGCCAAAGGAGCTAAATTATTGAACTCCCAAAAGTCCTGAGGAGATAAAAGGCAACACATGGAAAGGAAATCTGTTGAAACTGTACAATTAAAATATGTTAAATTTATTCTCTTTTTTGTCTCAAGTTACGGACTGTTAGCCTTTACTACTTGCTAAAACACTGAAAATAATACATCTGTCTTGTCCAATGTTGTTGTATTGTCAATAAAAAAATAATAATGTTGAGTATTTGCTCACAGCTTGTAAAACCCCCAAATAAAATGTTCAATTTTCAAAAATGGGGAAGGAGTTTATAAGATTTTTTTTTCTTCATCCTACTCCTGTTCTTCCTTTCATGGAATGCAATGTTGTATTTGCTATTATTGTTATATTTTGTTGCATTGCCATGGAAAAAGGGAACAAAAATAAATAGATGTAAAACAAATTAATAAATAAATAAAATAAAAAAACTTACTGTAAGCACCATCATCAATATGGTGAAACAATCCATCCATTCCATTCCATCCATCCATCCATGTCACTTTGCATGTAATGAGTTAGCTTCACATTTGAAAAATACAACCAAGCATGGGGTGGGAGAAAATAAATTATCTTCTCTGCACTCCCTTTCTAGGCAAAATTGTTGTTTGATATTGTTATAGGTATGTTTTTAAGCAATTGTGATACACCTGTGTTTACCTGAAGTAAATCAATAAATCAATAATAAACTGTGCTCTGTGAATTGGGTGCAGCTCTGATTGCCACCCGACGACTCAGAAATGAATTAAGGGGAACAAGATGGATCGATGGATGGATTGAATAAATACAAAATAAAATAAGAAGCAGGCTAGCGTTTCAGATTTATGCAGCTAAAATCTGGAACAGTCTTCCTGAAAATGTGAAACAGGCTTCAAGTTTTAAAACAGTTGTGTTTAGCCGTGCATACAACTGAAGGATTGAATCTATCTCTGTCAAGCACTTTGAGTTTCCTTGTTTATGAACTGTGCTATACAAATAACCTTGCCTTGCCAATAAGTGACTATGAAACTAGCAGATGAAAAACCTTAAAACAACCATAACATGACATAACCACAAATGAGTGAATACTTAATAAATTGATTTGAACATCATAAGTATTTACAACATTACTAATACAGACTAATACTTTTTCTTGACCTGTATATAGCAGCAGTCATAAAAAACTTACTACTCACCAGAGGCCATCTCCTCCACCTCCATGTTGCTGCATTTGGGACAGAAAAGACCACATGACTCAGGACCAAAAAGGTTAAGTGCTGCCAAGTCACCGTTCACATGTCCCCTTAAATATTTAACTGAACACCAAGGACCATTTTTCAGATGTCTGTCGCACGCACACAGACACGCACACAGACACGCACATAAAGGCGACACTCAGAGAACTAGAATATCAATCAAAAATGTATTTCTGTGATTCTACTTGTGAAACCAGCATATGATGCAGACTCATTACACGCATTACACAATTTTCACAATAATATAATTTTCTGAGATGATTTATTTGGAGTTTTTACAACCTGTGAGATATCCATCCATCCATCCATTTTCTACCCTTTAATCCATTTCCAGCCCCTCACTGACCCTCTGCAGGTGGTGAGTCCACAGGGGGACGGCTGCTCTCTGAGTGTGAGCATAGCCTTGATCTTTCAGTGGGGGCTTAGGGCAAAGTGGGGTTAAGTGTCTTGCCCAAGGACACAACAACAGCAGTCATCAGTGGGAGTCGGTGGAGAAGGTGCAGAGGTGGGAATTGAACCCACAACCTTCTGGCCTTAAGGCCAATGCTCTACCAACTGAGCTACTGTCGCCCCTACCTGTGAGATATCATCAACATAATGAAGGCTTGACATACCTCACTTTGCGTGTAATGAGTCTGCCATTATTTTCAAATTCACAATATATTCTCATTTTCACCTGTACAGAATCTTTGCCACTGACTTACAGGTGTAAAATCATATCTTGGATTGTACTGTGAATGAATGATCAACATACACACTGCAAAAAATGATAAAAAACACTTGATTCAAGCAATTATTACCTCGTATTTTAGTACATTCTGACATGATTTTTCAAGGAATTTCTAGTATCTTTTTAAAACAAGATAATTGTGCTTGTCCCGTTGGCAAATATTCTGTCAGAATGTGCTCATAGTAATATATTTTTCCAAATTTGAGCAATTTTTGACACTTTTTTCAAGTACTGCTGCTGACCCCTACAGGCGGGATGATGTAAGTGCGCTTTACAATTTGTAAGTGTGTGAGAGAAAAATAACTTCCTTAGCAGCAGCTGATTTTTTTACAGCATGAAAATATTAACTTCTAAATATGTTTTTTCCTCCTTCCTGATAATATGATGGAGTAGAAAAAAAAGTATGGACAGGAAATATTATGTTTTCAATTGTGTGACCCGGGGGAAAAAAACTATACCTTGAGAACGCATCTTCCAGACCGTCGTCCACATCCTGTCAAAAAACAACACGAATCAGACAATATACGCACGAACAAAAATGTATCTAACACAAGCATTATAAACACGTTCACAAAATATCAAACATACATACCGTACATACCGTACATACATACATATCAAACACATACTGTACATACATACATATCAAACACATATGTTTATCTTATATCAAAGCTGTGTGAAAAACTCTCTTTTAACACACTGTATCAAGCTGTATACAGAGCTCCCAGTTGTATAGCGCCATCTAGTGAGTGTCTGTATTTATAACCAGTAGCCACAATAGAAAGTGAGCGGAAATATGAAACAAGATCCATACAATTCCATGAGATGAGTAAGATTGTGTGATTTACCCATGAGTCATGTTTGATGGGTCTCCTGCGTGTGGGATTACTGCGGGGTAAAGGAGAGTGGAGCAGAGCCGCTAAGAAGGGTCTCCGCACCTTCTCTTCGCTTTGTGCTGGCTTGTGCGGTGTCGCTGCTTTTGGGACAGACATTAAGATTTGCATTCAATTTAAATAATACAAAAATTACACTGTTGCAAAGCGGATACATGAAATAATAATAATAATGCAGTAGTTTTATATTGCACTTTTCAGGACCTTCAAAGATGCTCAACATGTCATTATTCTTTCACACCAAACACGGTGGAGATAAACTACTACTGTAGCCAGCGCTGCCCTGGGGCACACTGACGGAAGCGAGGCAACCAGTATGTGCCATCGGCCCCTCCGACCACCAACTATTCACACAGATTCATTCCAGGCAATGTGGGTTAAGTGTCCTTGCCTAAGGACACAACGACAGTTTGGCATTTCACAGCCACAGCCGCCCCACTGTGGCACCTGGTGTTCCCAGAGGTCTCCCATCACAGTACTAACCAGGCCCTGCTCTGAGGTCTGACGGGATCTGGATTTTGCATACAAGTGTATCCTTCTCTGAAGAAAGCCTTGGGCGACATAGTCTGAGTCCATCAAACTTACATGGAGGGTTCAGCTTCTACAGGAACAGGGCACTTTTAATTGCGAGTTGTCTGTTATTACGCAGCAGACTGAGCCACGAGAGCCACAGGAGCCTGATTAAATCTTACTTTTCCAAAAGTGACCTTATCGAGGACAAAACATTTTGACCTATAAATGTCGGCGCCGTTATAAACTATTTCAGCTCTGCTCCTTTCTAGACTAATGAGCCCATTGGTATGAAGTTCACACTGTCAAGTTATTTGTCCTAGAAAAGAGAAATGATTGACATAAAAGAACATTTACAACCTTAATAAAATCGTTAATTCAAGCCTTCACGTTCATTAAATCAAAATGACTGCCTCCTTATCTAATTAACATTCAGAGACACTTACGTTCTGCAGCAGACTCTGTTGACTCGGTCTGACTGGTACTGCTGGAGCAAGTCTCGGATTTCTTATTTTTGTCTGTCGAGAAAAGAACATAAAAACACAAATAATGTGAAAAGAGTTTTCAAGTTAAATGATAATAACGCACTGTGCTTGAATAACACTTTTCCTGAAAACTGAAAAAAACATTTCACATGGCATCATTCACGCCATATAGTTTGGTGGTATAATACTGCTGTAGCCACAGCAGTCCCGGGGCAGACTGATAAATATAAGATAAGATAAGATAGACTTTATTGATCTCACACAGGAGAAATGTCCATGTCCGTATCCATGTCACATCTGACATGGATAGAATCACTCTTGAAGAAAAAAAAAATTGTGCAAAGAAAGAAGTGTTAAATGCATATATATTTTGTACAATAAAAGTGGCAATTAAGAAACAGTGGCAATAGTAGTGCAGTTTATTTTTTTTTAAAGCATGGCACTTTACAGCCGCAGCCGTCTCTGTCCTGTTCAGCCTCTGAGATCTGACCAGATCAGGTTTCACATGATAGAATCGACATGAGTTTGATTGGATTCAAAACAAACCTACAATTATGATGATTTTCAGTCTCTTTGGAGAACAGAAATGGATACATTACATGTAATTCATTTACCATTTTACCACAAACAGGAACAATACAATGTTACTATTTCTGAATTTTGTAAAGACTTGGAGTTCACCTGAACCCGATGGATGAAATGCTTTGTAACTGATCGTTTCTAGTAACACATAAAATAAAGATGGAACTGAAATAACTTTTAGCATTTGTGTATAATTTGATACAATGATATTGGGTCTGAAAGTACTGAAATAAAGAGCTGAACTTCATAAATCATTAGGCCCGGCTCAGGAATAGAATTTCAGTGCAAAATCAGCAGATGAGATGACCCTCCAGAAAAGAACAGTGTTCAAATAATGGCTGACCAAGTATTTTGAAGCGTTTTTGAAACAGAGCCAACTCTCTCACAAGATTACCTGTCAGCTTCCTTAGCCATTTATCCTTTTTCTTTTTTTTTTGTAACTATGTTTAAGTTTTAGCTCCAACCTTGCTTCTACTTACCTTCCTGAGCTATTTCCCAGAGATCAAGAGCAACTTTGAAGGCCTGGGCCACTGTTAATGTCACTGCCTGAGCCTGTAAACAAGAAACAAATAAGAAAAAAGCCAAATTATAATAATTATTAAAATGATATACCAACATCATATCCTCATTGAACTGAATCTTGTCTGATAATGTGGAGGTTTCTAAGGGCATCTTCAGCCACTAGATGGAGCCAAACCCCACTGAAGTAGTCCTACAGGGATGAGCAAATATCACCAAGTCATCAACAGTTTTGGATCGATGTCAAAGCTGTTTTCCCAGGATCGATGTTTCATTGGTAGAGTTGGGTTAGAGTTGGGATAGGAGTAATTGAGAGGGTAAGGGCTAAGGTTATAAGGTATACATAATAACTCTGGCACTGTTTTTTAGAACTCCAAATACAATCATAACAACATTTACTCACAATCTTTTTCTTTTGGCAGAGGAAGGCGTGGCACTCCAGGGTCTCGTTGAACTGACTCTGGGACACGTAGGCAAACACTTTGTCCTGAGTTTTGTGGGCTGTGCAGTAGGAGATTCTGCAGAGATCAGAACACAAGAAAAAAAGTCAGGCATATATGTTTAAACTGAAGTCTGTTTATGAGAAAAAAATGCAAACAATAAATCAAATTCCATACTGCAGTGGAGTAGGATTACTTCGTATGATAACGGTTTAATCTGCAGTAATAATTATATTGAGTCCTTAAAGCTGGGGTACTCCACTTTTAAACTAATTTTATCAATGAAATACATTCCATCTAAAGTTCCAGGCTCTCAACATAGTTGAGAGCCTGGAACTTCCGAGCCTTGGGCGGCACGGTGGCTGAGTGGATAGCACTCTCGCCTCTCAGCAAGAAGGTCCTGGGTTCGAATCCCGGTCGGACCAGGGCCTTTCTGAGTGGAGTTTGCATGTTCTCCCCGTGTCTGCGTAGGTTTCCTCCGGGTACTCCGGTTTCCCCTACCACTAAAAATATGTCCAATAGTTCTAGCATGCGCCTCCTGTGATGGCGACCGCGCTCCCATCTCTGTGTGGAGTGAGAGACAAATGCCCAAAAATTAACAATTGTAAACCGCTTTGAGACTCAGATCTGCAGTGAAAAGGCGGTATATAAATAAATACTTACTTACTTACTACTTACTTTGGTTCTATCACTAGTTTTCACACGCTTTTTTTTCTTCAGTGATTCAGTGACTTTACCACCCACTATCAACCAATCAGCTCTCAGCCCAAAGTGTCAAATAGTCAAAATAGAGTCAAAAGTTGAAAAGACACACTATAGAAGATTTTGTGTGAATCCATTCACACTTAGTAAATGGGGGGTCTAAACCGGTAACATGAGACAAAAGGATAAGCCCAAAAGTGACTGAAAGTGACTTCGGCTCGCTTTGTAAAACACCATTTAACATTAGACTATAAGTGATATTCTAACTCTGCCTTTCTCCAATACGACAGCCATGATTTCTCTTTCTGCGTTCGTCTCTGCTCGGATCACAGTGAATTGTACATGTGTTTCCTGTATGTGGGACAGATCCGCTCTCAGACGCCACTCAGATGCACAGCTTCATGTCTAATGGATGAACTGTAAATTGTTTGTTGCTTGTTTTTGCTGATGATTGACCCACATTGCGAAAGCCCAAGACGCCCCTCATTCCCTACACTGAACTTATATTTGGACTGTAATTGCAGCAGAAGAAGCGGGGGGAAAGTTAAAAGGCCTGACCTACATGTGGAAAACAGGATCGAGACATTGGCTGCTTCATGAGAGAAATAATGATCATCTCATCCGCATATTTCAAGAATATGGGGCTCAGACGTAACTTCACAAATGTGACACATCAAGAATATTTGGACAAGAACCTTTATATTGGTTTTATTAAGTACAACTGTGTTTTTCATTGAAATGACACGACGATGTGATGGAATTCATTTGTCATCAGTAATAATCATCCTGTTGAGGTATGTGTATGGCTCAATAGCAATGGCATGGAAAGACCATTTTTCTTGTTTTGGTTGAGGTGTAACTACTGCTAGAAAAAATATTTCAGCAACAAATATTTCCATCAACTTCAGCAAGATTTAGCAGACACAAGTGACTATGAATACAGAAACTAGAAAAGCCCCCATAGAGTGCAGACTGATCCAGACAGTGATTCAGATCCCTGTACCTGTGCCAGTAGTACACCCATGTCCTGAAAATGTTGTCAAATTTTTTTTTTGTTATGTTACTCACAGACAAACAGACAAACACTGGTGATCACTTCCTGGGCAGGTAAGCAGAACCCAGACAGAATTATACATAGTGATATTTAAGATCAGACAGGAGTCAATGAACAAATACACATAAAGCATTTAAAATATATGTTGTATTCATAAATCGCAAAGATGTATTAAAAATTGCAAAAATTTACTGTCAAATCTAAATCTAAAATTAATACTAAAATTAACAATTGCCTGATATTCCCTTGTTTTCTCTCTTGTTGTTCTTCCCACTTAAAACCAGTTCTCAAACTAGAGCTAAAGAAGCAGACGCACAAACAAAGGAAGACACGCACAGTAACAAGCAAGTAAAGGTCATCAATTTATCACGGAACAAAGAAACTCGTTCTTTTCACACAATATAAATCAATCCATCTCACAAACGCTGCGCTCTGAATAAAAATGTATTCTATTTTTTTCCCACCAAGGAGGCGCAATTCTGATACAAATAAGTGACAGACAGCGAGGCGCGGCCCAAACAACAGAAGCCGAGCTGTCAGCGGGCATCACGTCTCAAAGGGAGCTTCTCTTTGATCTCCTGGCTCTGGTGAAATATTTTAATAAAAAATCACATCAAAAGATTTCTTCCTTTAACCAAATAATAGACATGTTGTGTTGCTTCACCTGCATCAATAGAGAGAGAGAGAGTCATGTGGTGAATGTGAAGAAGAAACGGAATTTTTTTTTTTGTATGACGCTTCATACGTTTCTACAACTCAAAGTGCGACGAAACAAGAAAAACTAACAGTCTGTTTAAAAGAAAGTCCAGTCTTTAGTTTGACCTTGAAAGTGTTGGAGCACATTTGGCAGAGCACTCAATTTACAAGGAGCATCATGGGAGAAATCAGCTTCTCCCATTTTTTGGTTTTACGCAAAGACCAGCGATAATAGGCAAGTCACTTCACCCACACTGCCTAGAATGAGTCTGGTGTGTGTACGAATGGTTGGTGGCTGATGGTTCTGTCAGTGTGCCCCAGGGCAACTGTGGCTACAGTAGTAGTTTATCACCACCGTGTATAGAAAGACAGAATAATGACATGTGAAGCGTCTTAATGTCCTGAAAAGTGCTATATAAAATTGATGCATAATTAAATCAGAAATATAGGAAGGTGTAGCTGTTTATAAATAGTAAGTAAGTAAGTAAGGTTTATTTATATAGCACATTTTACAGACCATGGCCACCCAAAGCGCTTTACAATTGTTAAGAGTTCAGATAGTTAGTTATTAGTTAAGAATGAGTAGTTTAAATATAAACCGTGCCTGAATTTGGAGCCAATAACAATCTTTTATAGGTGTAATGTGAACGCGAGAATTTCGTCTCAAAGCTGTCACGGTGAGCCGGCAGCACGCCACTCAAACTCATGTGACCTGTTTGATTTGTGGCGTTTAGATGCAGCTCAGGCCCACACCTCGTGACAGAATGTGAATGATGCCAAGCGAGACAGATGGAGCCACCGCACGCTCATTCACACACAAGAGGATCCGGAGTAATCACACGTGAATATTGATATGGAAACGATGGCTTAATATTAACAACATAAATATGCTTCTTTTAAACTTTATAAGCACATTTTCTTGGTACTGTTTTGAAAGGCTGGAGCTTTGATTTTTACTTTTTTTAAAGACTTAATAATAGAAAATATATGAAATAGAATGGAATATAAGCCATGATTCAGTTCACATAGAGCACATTTTTAAGCATCAAGGATTTTTGAGCGTGCGGGACAAAAGTCTAAATGTGAAAACTTAAATATGAGAATGTGTAGTTTGAATGATTTAGAAAAAAAAAAGATTTACCATTTTAATCATCACAGCATTGTTCCATCATCAAAAACAGACCTGGAGTTGTTTTTAGATCAGACTTATATTAACCCTTTAGGCTCCAGAGGTTTTTTTCCAAAGAGGCTCGATTTTGACATTTTCATTTCGTAATAACTTAAAAGGGATGAGAGATCAAGGCTGTATGTAAATTAGAGAAATTTTAAGGATGGCCCAAAGTTTATATAGGATTTTGGATGTGTACATTTATTTGTACATTTTGACTTCATATGGCGGTGGCAATTGTGGATTTTCATGATTTTTTTACAAATCACTACTCAATTACCAGGGAAACATAGTAAAACAGTGTAAATCATTGTGTGGAAGGGAGTTTGAATGAATTTTGACACCCTGCTTGACACAATGGCTCTTTTTAAACCGTACCGTATATTGTCGACCTCAGTCAACTGTGGCGCCTGGAGGGTTAAGCACAACTCTTAGCACAAACAGTCGCTCTACCATTTTCTCTAATTCTCTTGTCTCCTGGTACGCTCTTTACCACCACGTAGCAGTGCTTGCAGTAAGGTTGGGAATACTGATACAGATGCAAACCACCTGCTGGGGTTTGTCTAGAAACAAGTGTATCACTAATCATACTATAGTATAATTTAGTACTATACATGTGCTTTCATTTAAACATATGGTGCTATTTTCTAACAAAGATAGAGCCAAGACGTCTAAATTTCATCGAACAAACTAGCAACCCAAATTAGGGACTCATTCTGAGCTCCGATTGGACAATCTACCAAAATATTGTAAACATAAATATTGTGGAAATGCACATGACTTGACTTTCAAACCTTTGTTCAGAAAAAAATTGATTATTATTTGTACAAGCTGACATCGAGGGACAAAAATATATCATTGAACACGTAATGAAAAAAAAATACAAAGAGACCCTTGTAGCACCCTCATTTACAAATATTCAACAATTCTTTTATGTTGAAAGAAGTATGACCATTGGTTTAATGCATTAACTAATGTTTGTATCCAAGATCCCAAAGAAGCAAATATGCTACAGAGCCCAATTTTGGTCATTGAATGCTGCTTTCCAAAAATAGCACAAATCCTTTTTCCAACAAATATTTGTATGCCTGAGTTCCTCTGGGTTTAAGGCCTTTGCATCAGTTGTTTTAAGTTTACAGTGAAGAATCTACAATCTCATTATACATTTACTGCCTGAAAATGGGGTCACACTAGTTCACCAACTGAACATGTAATGCACATTTAAAAGCACCATACGTACAGTAAATACGGCACAGTAAGTAATGGCACTACATTTCCCATTGTCTAAAGATCATGCCAATTTACAGTACGTGAGTGTGATTGGGTCAAGCTTGTAACAGTCCCATTTCCGATGTCTTTTTTGACCCCCCATAAGCTCTGCCCAAGGGAAACCGCCTGTCTCCCAGTATGAATACATAATCAGCTCCACAAACATTTGCATCTACGCTCACAGACTCA